ATTAAAGAGAAGATTGTGGAAAAAATGACAGTTAAAAAGTGGGTTGTCAGAAAATACGTTAAAATTTCAAAAATACCTCTAGTAAAATAACCATTAAATATTGTATACATATTGGCGTGCTGCTCTTAAACCCCCAGAGGAGGTTCCATAGGGCCAAAATTAAGTCAATTAATGACTAAGTATATATAACCTATTTTTTTTTTATATTACAAAAAATTAGGTTAAAAAATTAATCGGTGTATCTCATCATGTCATGCAATCAATGTGCATTGTGTTTACATGTTCATTTTGGTCATATTGATCAAATGGTCTTATGAACCTGAACCTTGTTTATCCAAATTACTAGCTATTCACATCGGAATACTTGTTTCTTGCTAAAATAACTTTTCAGGGTTTTCTGTCATTTGGAACTCGTCGAGAGAATTAATTCCTTGAAATGCATCAAGGGAGCTTCTCTTTACACAACTTATCCTCACTGTGAACTCATTCTTACAAGAAATTAATCTTCACACAGTACGTATCTTCTTTGGGAACTCCTCATATAAAACTCTTCCTTACTAAGAACTTTACCTCGTGAAAGCTCATCCTCTCTAGGAACTTATACTCACCTCGAGCTTGTTCTTACTAGAAACTTGCACAAAATTCAATCATTCACTTGGATAATTGACGACCAACTATATTTGCCCACTTCACATTAAACTTTGGGACTATTTGGTCTGCTAAAAAAGGAGTTCATTGCATTCTTTTTGCATGAGAATCTAAGTGTTTCAAAAGAATTTCAAATGCAGTGTAAATTAATAATGCATTTGAATTTTTTTTATTCATTTTCTATGTACATGAAGTTTATTGGATTTTGGGTGAATTCCAAATAAACAACTTTATGTCAATTTTTGCTGCAACTGTTGCATCGTTGTCAACCCCATCGACAACCCTCTAGCTATTGACGCCACTGTCGTAGCTACTACCTAAGCCACCCACCACCACCGATCATTGTTGTTGCCACAATTCGCTCTCCACCAACTGTCTGCCTACCCTTATATATATATTTTTGTTTTACTTCAACCATATATATATATATACTACATTCATTTTAAACCGAACTGAATAATTCCAAAGTATTTCAAATACGATACATTACTTCTACACTGTATTCCTTTTATGCTGCATTACTTTTTTAACAAAACAAACAACCTTTTTTTGTAAATTTTACTTTATAATTTACTTCATTTATTGAAATATGAAATTTTTTTTATTTATTACACTAAACTTTTGGTTAAACCTACAAATAAATTGTAAAAAAATAAATATAAGAGAGTCAATCACATTCTATTACATCTTAATACATTTTTATTAATTAGGTCACATCAGGTTGTATTCCAATAATAGTCTAATGAGGTTCTCTGAGCTTCTCTTTCTAATTTTTATTTTTTATCTCATCTTTTTGTTAAGCTTGTTCTATGCTTTTAAGTAATGTTCTTGTGAGCCCCATGAGTCATATGTTGTGCTATTTTTTGATTTTGATGATGACAAATCAATTGGTAGATTTTGTGGATGAAGGTGCATAATGATATTTCATCATACTTTATAACAAAAGTTATTGCAAGTTAATCTCAAAAAAGATATAAAAATTTAGAGCATGATATTAATTTATCCCTTAAATATACAACAAAAACCACAACAAGCCTTTATCCCACTAAGCAGGTCGGCTACTTGAATCATTTTTCTCCATTGAGTCATATTTTAATTTAATTCGAATAGATTAAGATCATTTTTTATACATTAAGCCCAAGTTTTTTTAGGTCTGTCTCTGCATTTTTTAACATAAGTTGAATCTAAAACATCTACTCTTCTAATCAGATCATCAGATGGTCGACGTTTAGTATGACCAGACCATTTAAGACGACTATCTGTAATGTTGTCTGCCACTGGAGCTACACCAACCCTATCATGGATATATTCATTTCACATTTTTTCTCTAAGTGTCGTCACTCATCCGCCTAAGCATTCTAATCTCAGCAACATTTAACTTTGTTTTATGTTTCTCTTTTGAAGGCCAACATTCTGTGCCATAAAGCATCGCAGGTCTCTCCACCGTCTTATAAAATTTTCATGTAAGTTTAAGCGGTACTTTTGGTGGCTCTAGGGTTCACCTCCACCACCGGCCAGGGTGGCAGGGGAAGCCTTGCGTGGTCACCATCTTACCAAGGGAGCTCAGGGGTGGAGAGTAGTGAAGCCAATTGGGATGTAACATGGGTAGATGTGTTTGATTTAAGTGGAAAGGTCTTGAATTGATTTTGGGAGAGCTTGGGTTTGTGTCATGTATGTGGGTTAAGCTCACCTCTCAAAGTGGTTATGGCTAGTGATGATCCACTAAATTAGTGTGGTCAAGTCGCCATCCAAGAGATTAAAATTTAATCATGGGTTAGATTGAAGCTTGAGGAGGGTTAAGCATATTGGGGAAAAACTGAAACACTTCCCTCCTTTTGCCACTTAGGGAATGGTGGCTCACATGAGGCTCACACATGGCTTCCATTTGGCTTGCGTAAAACCATGTGGCTTGCCTGTGGCTCATGCATGGCCTTCATGTCTTGCATTAAAGAGAAGTGGAGGAAAATTTCATAAATTCCAAATAGGGTTAGTTAACCATGGGATCTTAGACTTTATGTGGTGATTAAATTTGATCATAGGTGGCTGAAATTTGTCAAGTGAGCTTGGATTTAAAAGGATTGAGAAGTTGGCTTGAGTTGTCGGCTTTTACTTTTAAGTTGGTGGGCTTGGTTTTGGAGATAGATTTTAATGAAAATTTAAATCAATCATGGCCTTGATGAAGTTTAGAAATTATCGTGATGAGATTTAAGACATGAGCTAGGTGAAATTAGACTTGGCATATGGGTTCAATTTTGATGGATTTTAGGCTTGGGGTGAAATTTGATATGAGGTTGATGGGTTTAAATGGTGATGTGCATTGGTGTAAGAGTGTGTATGTGATGAACATGTAAGGTAGTGGTGAATGTGAATTGTAGTGGTGTACGATTATGGTGGTGTGTATAAATGTGTATGTAAGGTTAAGTGAGTGATGTGTAGGGGGAGGTATGGGGGTGATGTGGATTGTAGTGATGTATAGATTGTGTATGTGGTGTTTGTGAATGTGTATGTAAATATGTATGTAATGTGAGGTGGGTGTTCAAGTCATAAAGAGCTCCCCTAAAGTTTGTGATCCTATAGGAACTCACTTTTAAGCCTGCAAATGTCGGTCTTAGTCATCCCAACCAAGAGCTGAGGACTTGGGACCACCCAAGTGAGTCTTTACAAAAAGAGTCATGAAGTGTCTTTAGTTTCTAAAGGAGGTGGGTCCCATTTATATTCTTCTAGGATAGTCAATAAGAACGTCATATGACTAGATCCTGAACACTAGGAAAACAATTCAGACCTCACCAAAAAACAAGATCAATAGGCCTCCGTGTACTCAAAGCGTTGTCTATCCAGCTGTACAGATCCAAGACTGTCTTGGTACTTAGAGTCTCCTCTTTCTTCAAGGTCCTAGATTGTACTTCGGTCGTTGGGCACCAATCCATGCTCTAGGTGGTTCAATTCTAGAGGGGTTCAATCCATTTCTCATGCTACGACTTCTCTGATGGCGCCCATTATATGGCTCATCATTTTTTCCCTTAACTTCTGAATTTGTTGCTGCACAAATTCCAAGAGTGCACTCCATCTTCCTTTTGTCTCTCTCGTGAGCTTCTTCTCCTAGTGGTGCTTCTTTTTTTATTCTTGGCATGTTTCACGCTCACCATATCTTTTAGGATGTTGAATTTAAAATTATCCACTGAGGCACACCCAAAGAATTGAACGTATGATAAAAGAGAGAAGAGAGAGAGAGAGAGAGAGAGAGAGAGTAGAGTGGAATTGAGACTATATTAGCCTAAACGATTCATTAGCTTTTACTGTAGAAATAACCCCTTATTTGCAGGTAAATGGGGTATAAATTATACAATTAGTTGCTTGTCTCTATTTGAATTAGGATGCCACGTGGTATTTTGGTTGTAAAAAAATACATTAATAAATAAATAAATGAAAAGTCTTTGGTTTGGCTGCCTCATCATTCAGGCACACATAAGGTCGGTGTTTCTTCAGTCGGCCAAGTTCATTTGATCAATTCAGATGACTCAAGGTAGATGATGGACTCTCGTGTGTTGGTCAGCTGATCGACCCCTTGGAGGACAGTCGGTCGGCTTGGCTAATGACATGCGGTTGACTTAGCTAAAGATAGGCGGTCGGCATATGATGGTCGTTGGGTTGTAAGACTTTGTTTAGCCTACTCCTTTGGTTTGATTGATAGTTGTTGAACCTTTAAGTAAAACTCTCATTGCCAAAACGAGGCTAAGTTGCAGGCTGATGGTACATTATCGTAATCCGATAGATAGCCCACCCCTTTAAGAGGAGAACTATTGGAGGATTTATGTGGGTGTCATACTGGTACCTGAATAATCTTGGTAGACTCGTGTTATTTTGGGAAGTGACCGATCTCTTTCTTTGATTAGGTAGGTCCTGATCTTTGACTTGAAGGACATTCATATGGTAGGCTTTAGACACGAGGCTATGGTTAGCCACTGGATCACTTGAGCTAACATTGATGTGACTTCTAACCTCTTGCCAGCCATCTTTGACCGCTTTGGTTTCTTAGTCCATAGGATCTCCTCAACATTAGTGCTGACATATTTTATGTACATTATAGATTTCATATTTTTATATCAATAAATTGTAATAAAAATATTTTTAAAATTGTAATACAAATTGATGGAACTCCAGAAATACCCCATTTTATGCCTTCCATTTAAAAAATTCTGACTTCACCATTCATACTATCTAATTTTTTTTCATTAATACATCATTTTGACAAAAGGTAGAAGCAGAATGAAGATCATACAATCATAATCGCTCATTATAAAAGAAAAATTCTAAGAAATACTTTAGAAACTAACTTTTCCACCTTCAACAATTTACAGAATGCCTGGAGGCAGAGCCTTCGAATTGGCAATTACTTCCCCACGCACAGCAAACGAGGAAATATCCTTTATGTACATGTCTTGAGCCTTCGGAAGGAATGAAGGAGCAGAGACCGAGTTCTTCTTCCTTAATCTCTCAACATTCAATTCCATGGGAATTGGAACTCTCTCAACTATTTGCTTTCGAAGTATGTCGTGTAATCTCCTGAAGAGCTTCTGCTTCACTGTATCAAACGCCCTATCAAGATTATCAATCTGCAGTCATATTCCACTTCGTTATACACATTATTTTCTTTAACTAATACAAAAATTTTTATTTATATATGAAAAACACAGTCTATAATTTTCAATTTTATGTTCTGCAACATACTTGTTCTGTAGCATTAACGTTGTACATGAAGAGCCCGTAGTACAAATCGAAGCTGTCGCTGACCGTATTCTCAGTCTGACATACGAAATAAACATCATAAATTAATTAATGAATCTGTAATTACATATATAATAATTTAAAGGTTATTTATAATGAATCCCAGAGATGCTTACTAGCTTCAAGAGGGTCTCATATCCTTTGGTGTTTATAGGCGTGGACTCCAAGTTTAATTGAGATAGGATTCTGCGTTGACCAATAAGTAAAGGGTAAACGGCTAAATTTTATAAATTTATTAACTTATCAAACAACTATAGAATTGGACCAATAAATAAAGGGTACTACAATGTTCTAGAGAACTGACTTACCTTCCAATGGTATGAGTTATGAACTGGCTACCCGCAGCATGTCGGTCATGTTCCTCACATGACATTTCTACCATTCTACAGCCCTGTACAAAATATACAGCTCTACTCTTATTGCTCCCCACAACAAAAAAAGTATATATATACCTATATATCTATATCTATTTATATTTAAAAGCAATGGCCGGAGGCTATTAGATGAGTCCTGACCATCCTAGGTGTGCTAAATATTCGAATGCCACACCATACACACAGGGGGATTCGAACCCGTGACCTAAAGGAATTTACGACCTTCAGAGAGACTGCTCGAACAATAGGCCAAGGTACCCGCACACATACATACATACATACATACATACATATATACATACATACATACATATATATATATATATATATATACATACATACATACATACATACATATATTATATTCATAACACTCAAATAATACTAACCTCATGCTCGAAGATGCTTAAGAACCGTTGGCAGTTTAAGGTCTGCAAGCTATCACGGATGACACGAACCCGGTCGAACACAAATGGCAGTCCGGCCCAACCATCTTTGCCGCTCTCTGGACCAAACATGGGATGAGTGCATACTATACCAAACTCTGGAGGAAGAACCTTTGTAGAATTAAAAAAAAAAATGTCAGCTATATTAATTAGTGATTAATTTTCATTAATAAGCAATTATAAGTGTTTATACGTGCCTCAAGGAAGAGATTTTTAGGGAACTGCTTTACTGATAAAACATCGACAAATATTGTATCTGGTTTAAGCTTATGAAAGGGAATTGTGCGGACGATTTTCTCTGTGGATAGGATTGAGCTGCATATTAACATGATATCTGGCTTTTCCTCACACATACCATCCATGCTCCTGAAATATGTTATTAAACATGAATCACTGATACAATTTAATTAAAATGGGAAATTTACATGCATACCACTCAATTCCAATGTATTCTGCTTTATTTTTTCGCTTATACTACCTAAATCTTTCATATCACAACGAAAACATTATTATTTTCACTTTTAATAACAGAGTTATATCTTTCCATGCATGTGTAAAATAATATGTATGTAACAATTGAAGTTTAGCTGTTAGAAATGTAAAAACATAAGAATTATGTGGTATGTAAGCAAATCATCCAAACAGGTTATGAAGTGATTTGACTTTGTAGAAATAAATTGTATCGAAGCACGGGATACCGGTCAAATTTTCTATGGAAAGTTGAACAACTCTACTCAAAACAAGCATATTAAAAACTGCAACTTTGAAAAGTTTCTTTCAGAGCTTTACGCGGAAAATGGTCGTTGATTATGTTTACTGCAGTATATTTTATAAGAAAGTAAAGGAAATATTTGTCGGGTAATTGTTTATGAAAAAGAAAATTACATGCATATCACACAGTTATTATTTATTTTTTTATAGATTTAGCAACTAAACTTTTTCTTTTTATATTTTTATATTTATGCCATTTCATTTATTTTTAAAAAGGTGCATTTTTTTTTTATAAAAAAGGTATTTTGATTGTTTATACCTGAAAAAGTGGATTCCATTCAGCTTGCAGTAATCGGTGTAGTCGGATCTTGAAGTGGCCAAGACTTGATGGCCTTGCCGCTTCAGACCCTGAGCTATAAACTGTCCGAAATTTCCCAAACCAACGATTCCGATTCTCAAAGGAGCTTCTTTTTCATCCATATTCATCAATGGTGATTCCAGATTTACAGCGCATTTGGTCCTGTTCATGAAACTTCTCTGAAGAGCAAGACTTTGGCGGTGAAAACCCAATTTGGCTGCTGTGGTTTGCTGAATTTTTTTCAGTGAAGGAGAGGAGTAATGGCGTTGCTTATGCTGGGAAGGGAAGTTTTCTGTGTCTTTAGAGGTTTGGAGGCTGGTTTTGGTCTGAAAGATATGGAGAAATGAAGAAGAAGTAGAAGCCATTGATTCTTCTGAGTTTTAACAAGGAAGAAAGGCCGAGATGTTTTTTTTTTTTAATTTAAAAGCAGGGGCATTCTGATTTCATTTATTTAGCCTTGATATGAAGTTGTTGGAGGAGCAGAGGAGGACAAAAGCCACGTTTTTGTTCTTGGATTGCTGTTTGGTTGGTGAAAAAGTTGTTCGATTTGACCAAAACACGTATTTTGAACTGCAGAGTATTCATTTAAACTCGGGAATGAATGATATTATTTTGCATAATGTTTAAAAAATTTCGAGGAGAAATCAAACTCTATTTTGAATATTAGTCCTACTAAGATTCTGATAAAATTAGGGCTGTAAACGAGCCGAGCTTGAGCGAGCTCAGGCATGGCTCGTGTTCGGCTCCTTCGAAATTGCTCGTGTTCGAAATCGGCTCGTGAACAGTATATTCATGTTCGGCTCGAAATTGGCTCGTTAAACTAAAATTGAGAAAAATAGATGTAAAGTGTGTGATTCGAACCTGGATCAAATATATACAGAAGAAGACACTAACCACATTGCCACATGAGGTGTTATGATTTAAATTTAGACATAAATATATATAATATATTATTAAATAAATAATATATGTAATATATTGTTATATAAAAAATTATATAATTTTTTTTCGAGTCATTTTGAGCCGAACACTAACGAACAAACTGTGATTCGTGTTCGGCTCGTTTACATTTCGTGCGTAAGTCTATCATAAAAATTTGAACACGATTAGATGGAGCAGAGGAGTAACATTTGAAGTCTATCATAGAATTTGAACACGATTAGACACTGACAGACCGTATTTTAGCAGCTATATCAGAGTGCAATTATAATACACATAAGAAAATAAATTATAATATAAAGTAGAATAATATCTAAACAATATGACTCAACAGTTATGATATAAGAGTTTATATGGTGAGCCATTACATCACATTTAAAATATAATGAAACACAATATCAATCATCATATTTTTGGTATTCTTTGTGATCAACAATAATCAAAGAGATATACCAAATGGTGATAAAATAATAAAGTTGATAACAAAAATAATTCATCTGAATTTGTCTAGGATTAAATTTATCTTCAAATCTTTATTTCAGTTAAACTCTTTTATTTGATATATGTAATTATCTTTAAAAAGTAAATTTAAAAATTATATTGAAACTAATTCCTTTAAGAGATGACACTAATATAATTTACATGATGAGAGTGAATGTGCAAGTTTTTGAAGAATATTAGGATTCTAGTCATTCTTAAAAAAAAAAAAAAAAATTATTGGGGAGTTTTGATTACAAGCTTATTGACAAATGGCCCATAATTGTATTAATATTTAATAGTGATTGACATTATTTTTAATAAGGTTGATAAATATCTTTATGGCCTCTCCTTAGCATTTAGGATTCACACCTAGACCTAGAGCTTATTCTTAGTAAGGCCTAGGTGGTTTCCAGTAGATCCAATGAATGTTAACTGTACAACAAATCCAATGTCAAATCTTCCTATTATTATGTTGTCGGCACAATTTTAGGGGGATCGTCCTGTGGAAGCTGTCGGTCGCCAGCATCGGAATCCCGTCGTCCGCATTGGAGGGACATTTAATATATATATATTACCTCAAACTATGTATCTATCCCGAATGATAAACACAAGACTTGAGGGTGAAGCTCAATCAAATAACCTAAGAAATATATGATACCCGTTTGGTATGCGAAACAAAACCATTTTAAGTTGACTGACAAGTTGCCCTATTTAATACGAAAAATTAAATAAGGTTTATATTAAGCTGGGTTCTTGAAATTTTCCTATAAAGACAAGCCCATATAGTAATTACATCTTACATAATCGAAGTCACCTAAGAAAAATCTCGATAAAAATGAGGGGAAATTGTCTTCAAGAATTTCAAAGGATAAAACTTTCAAAGAGATCAGACAAGAAGGTGTGAAAGGGGAATGACTCAAATTTGGAACATTTATTTTTAGAATCCAAAGGAAGAAGGACTAGAGGATGCCGCAGATTCTGAGGAGAACCTCAGTGACTTCTCAAGCTATAATACTGTTTGGCTTCAATTTAGAGGAGAAATATTTAAGTGTTTCATTCTGTCAATTTTATTAATTAGGGCTTACATTCGTGTGAAACAATCACACAAATAGCCTAGAAGATGTGAGGATTTAGGTCGTGACGAACGACAACCTCAAAATCCTAAAACAAGTTAGGGCTTATATTGTATAGCAGGGCTATACAAATGCCTAAAAGAAAGTTGAGGATTTATGTTGCACTATGCGAACAACCTCAAAATCCTATGGCTTGTTGTTTAATTCTAAGGATTGATTTAGCTGATGTAGACATATTTTGCTGTTGAAGATGGCTGTGCTGCCCATAATGCTAGCTCCAAGCTCATTGTCGTAGCAAATTTAAGTTTTCTAATGTGTTGTCTTAATTTCAAATCAAATGTTTCCTAAGATCATGGCTATTTAAGTATTATGGGGGATATTAAAGTTGATTAGAGCGACACCGGTTAGGATCCTACGGTTCCCTCATTCTGGCACCACTATTTTTCTTCGGATGCACTTAGTCCAAATGAATTTACTAAACTCAATTTAATGAGCTCCATATTTTCATTTAGACCATGGGAAATCTCGTTAGCCACCGTGGGTTTCCTCCTTCTAGGGATTCCCGATCATCTGATAGAGACATTTTAAATTAGTTGCAATTTTTGTTTTGTTTTATTTGTGATTAAATTTTGAGTTGTCTTATATTTTGACTGTTGTGGCCGTGTATTTTGTCTTGTTTTGATTTCTTAATTTTTTTTTCAGTTTTGTGGCTATCATAAAAGTTTCAGTTTTGACATGTAGGGTGGCCTTGTTGTTTAACATACAAATTTATGAGCAGGAAACATGAGGTGCAGATAAAAGTAAATTGCAATGCAATAACATAAAAACATACCTGTCGATTCTTCTCATTCCTCCATCTGAAAGGTCAATATTTGCAAAGCATATGTATAATTTCACAGGAAAAGCTGGGAACACAGGTTCGAGGTGTGCCTACTGGGTCCTATGTCATACTTTGGTAGGTCTAATTTGTTCATATCTGGGGATGATTCCATTAAGCAAATCATAATAAGTCCAAGTGTCCTCCTAGATTCCCAAAGGATCGTGAAGAGTCCTGAGTAATACCCTAGACATTTCACAGTCCCTTGATTCGTCTCGAGTTCATTTTGGTCTTATTATGTTTGCTATGTGGTTCTCCTAGTTCATACCCTTACGCTCAATGAACTTTAATGTTTTGATTATCACTTTAAGATAGATAATTATCACATGATGTTTCACTTATGAATTATACGGGTGAAGGCCCTTAGGGGGAAATTGGCTTAATTAAGTAACTTGGTCGGTTTGATTTTAAAGATGGGCTTGTAGTGTTTTGAAAAAAATTCAAATTATTTATAGGTCATCTTCTAATCCTCATTATACAAGACTTTGATCAAACCTAATTTATTACTAAGCCCTTAAAACTTAATAGGTAGATTTGTAATTTTTAGAAAAAAATTGAATATATATTCTTTCAATCCTTATCATATGTCATAAATTATCTTAAAACTATTAGTTGGGGTTTCAAGTTAGTGGGTTATGATCTTTCAAAGTCAAATCTCTCACCTTAATATCTTCTTATTTAATTATTCTTTCAAATTTCATTAATTTGAAAAATTACAAATTTATCTTTAATGAGACCAAAGTGAGATTGGTTGCTACCATTTATCCCTTTAATATTTAAATGATCAAACATATCAATTAAGATCATTTATTACCCATTTTCCCTTTGGTTAAACCTAAATATTAATTAAGGCCTAAATTTCAAAATTACTCCTTTACCCTTAGGGCCTCAACACCTCATAATTCACTAAATCAAACTCAAATGACTTTAAAATTTTTATGTTACCTCACTCATGTGTTAAATAAAATATCATAGGAGAAAATGTAATTTTTCTGAAATTATTTAATTTTATAATTATTTTTAATATTTAAATGATCAAACATATCAATTAAGATCATTTATTACCCATTTTCCCTTTGGTTAAACCTAAATATTAATTAAGGCCTAAATTTCAAAATTACTCCTTTACCCTTAGGGCCTCAACACCTCATAATTCACTAAATCAAACTCAAATGACTTTAAAATTTTTATGTTACCTCACTCATGTGTTAAATAAAATATCATAGGAGAAAATGTAATTTTTCTGAAATTATTTAATTTTATAATTATTTTTAATTCAAAAATTGGGGTTTTCAATGGAAATTTAATAACTCAACCAAAACAAAGCTTCTGTCCTTAAGAAAATTATTAGAGGTTTACCTAGGTCAGAGGACCACTTGGACCAATTTTCATAATTTTTAGAGTTTAATTTAATTATTAGAATTATTTGTTTGTTTTGAGTATTAATTAAATATAAAATATTATTTAAATGGAAAATTGAGTTTTATATTTTTCTTAAATCTCTTTGAGTTTAGGAAACCCAAAAAAACCCAAAAAAAAAATTTATATTTTGTGATTTATATTTTAATTATTAGAATTATTTTAGTGGGAAATTGAAGAAAATTAATTTTAAGCTTTCAATGATTAATATCTTGAGTTAGAAAATTAGGAAAATTATTTAATTTGTCCCAAGTTATTAGGAAGCCAAATGTGACATTTTTTGTGTTTTTTCAATTTTACAATTTTTATGATTTTAAAATTAAGTTTTAATAATTTAAATGCTTAAAAATAGCTTAAAAAATGAAGTATTTAGTTTAATTACACTTTTATTTTTCTAAGGTTCCCCTGGTCATAAGGAGCTCTCAAAACCAATTTGGTGATTTTTTGAGTTGTATTTTAATTATTATAATTATTTTAGTGTTAAAAATGTAATTTCACTTAATTAATCCATTTTAGTGGTCAAATTAACTCCAATTGACTTAAAATTTTTATGGGGAACTCCTCTAATATTAAATTATAGTAAAGAATGATTTTTATGTCATTTACATTTATATTTACTCCAATTTAATTTTATTTCATTTTTAGGGGTTGGTGACAATTAGGATTATTTTTAATGGGTTAAACAAAGTTTATATTTTTCATAGGGTCCTCTAATCACAAAGAACCTACCAAAATAAATTTTGTATTTTTCTGATGAATATTTTAATTATTATAATTTTTATACCAAAATAGGGGCCATTAAC